TTTATTATTATTATATTTTCGAGAAAATTTTTACTAGGCGCAGAGCGATGGTCGAACGACGTTAAAATATCGAAAGATTCGTCCCATAAAAAGTGTTGCGAAAAACTTTTAAACTAAGCTAATTTGTAAATAATCTGAAACGAAATTTTATTGTGACTATATATTAGACTATTTTTCTTAAGTAGAAAAGAATTATAATATTTAATTATATAATGACTAGAAAAAAAAAGTCGTGTCTAAAAGACTTGAGTCTCGGCCCAGAGATAATGTACGATCGGTAGTACGATGCCAAAGTGAATTTGACTGTCTTTTATTATATTTGTCTCATTTCTATTCTATTCTATTCTTTTCTTTTCCCTTTCTTTACTTTTCTTTTTTTTTTTTCTTTTTTTCTTTTTTTTTTTTTGTTTCTTTTTGTTTTAATTTTGTTCGTTGCTTATTTCTATCTAATCGAAACCAAAGTCTTTCTTTATCACATCTTTTTTACTTTTAATCAAAATAGGAAAAGATTGAGAGGGGACGACGACGATATAAGCCATCGCTCGTGCGAATTATTATATTAGAATTGGTAAAGTCTTTTATAGGATATAACATATCTCTTCAGGGTACTTGAACAAGTATGTGTTAATACGGTATTAAAATTAAGGACAAAAAAAAAAGAAATATGTGAAAAAGTGAAAACTTCAAAAAAAAAAATAACGAAAAAGAAAAAAAAAAAAGGATATAAACGAAGAAACAAAATCTTTTTCTGACGTGCCAACACCTTCCAAACGATAAGAAACTTTAAGTCTTTTACACGGCATATCTTCTATCGAGAAAACGAATAATACCAATATTATTACTACTTTTAATCGATATAGGGTTTTAAAAGAATATATAAACACGAGAAAAATAATTAATATTATATAATAATTATATTATAGGGGGAAACAAACTTAAATTAATTAAAAAGATAAAAAAGAAAAAAAAGGAAAAAAGAAAGAAAAATGATCTTCGAATCTTGATGCATGAATTTTCATCTCTTATATTGTAATAAGGTGCGCGCTGGAGGGGGGAGTAACAGGAGGATAGGAGGGGGGGGGCCGATCGAGAAGAAATGCGAAAAGCAAAATATTTTAAACTATCTATTTTTATTTGCATTCTATATCGTATATGCGTGTACATATTAATATATATATATAATATTATATATATTAATATATATATATATATATATATATATAATTAAGAGAAAGGTGGTGTCTCCAATGTAAAGATCGAAGGAGTATTTGTAAGCGAATAGCGAGATGCGATATATGTATGTGAAAGTGAAACGTCGTTGATAATCGAGTGCTAAGCATAAGCTGGATGCTCGTTATTCTAATAAGAATATAAAAAGGTGTACGAGTGATTTTACTTACAATTTGCTCGTACGTTGAAATAATGAGAAAT